TTCAGTTGTCAATAAATGATGTAATGCATAATGCATAGTGACGAAAGTGCATTATAAATGATGTAGCGTTGTGTTATTTCCGCTTCGTTAACTCCGTTTTTCGTATAAGCACCCAACCCCTTTAAAGTAAGACTCGCTATGACAGTTGCATTAACCCATCAAACCGAGTGCATATAGCATAACTGGGACCACACATTTTATAACAGTACCTCACATAAAGACATATCGCGTGATCATGTGCAGCGCAAACAAGAATGGAGGATAATCGGAGGTGCAAAAAAGGATGGACCGTACGCTTGACAACAACGAACTTGACGGAGTACGAGATGGTGGCACTCACACGATTGCCGGTTGATATCGGGAATAAAGACATCATAACAAGCTCGTATAACGAAGACACAAAGGAAGAACTCACGATGACTGTTAACGGTTTTAGCTTACTAATGGTAGAAAAAAATTGGTTGAATGAGGAGATAGTAATTTTTTATCTTAGTCAAACTAGACAACGAGTGTCGTGTGAAGCATGTAGACTGCGACTCAAATAATGAAAATATGGTTAGAATAGGAAAGGGGCGCATCCCTAGAATAACAATTCTAAGCTCGTTTTTTTTTGTCAAACTATTTGATAGCAATATGAAGTTCCACTACGATAAGGTTCGCAAATGGTTCACAGAGGTTGTGATTAGCGACATGGATTTGATTATTGCGCCTTTCCATGTCTTGCACAACCAACATTGGACACTCGTAGTGGCAGACTTGAGACGCAGGAAATTCGAGTACTACGACTCGCTGACACCGGACAAAGAACTCGCGATGAAGGTGACAGGGGGGTTCGCAAAAATTTTGTACATGAGATCGATCGAACAAGGTCAAGAGATCGACACCAAACAGTTCAACCGTATATGGACAGTGAAAGGCATTCCAAAGCAACACGACTTCAACGATTGCGGTGTGTTTATGCTCACATATGCATCATTGTTGGTGAGAGGGTTCCTGCCACCATTCAACTTCATATCGGATGACAGTAAGAAACTATGATACGGGATAGCTTTCGACGTAGCAGTTGTGGAGTAGACGATTATGAGGCTGTTACATTAGTCGTCCACGCACATGAGACGAAATGCAGAGACCACAAGTACAGGTGATAACAGGAGAAGACGAGCTTGCTAGAGTAAACAGGATAATTGATGCAATTACACAAAAGGTGTAAATGGTTGTACAAGACATTCACCCTTACACCTAACCACTTATCACCTTACCCCTTATCCCACACACCTTACCCCTTACCCCTTATCCCCTACCCCTTACCCCCCCCATTTGGATCACAAATTAATCCCCACGGAAGACAAAATAGAAAAAAAAAATAGAGTTTCAATTCATTCAAAAATAAACATATGTCCGTTTTGACGAAATCGCTGTTCTCTCTCTCTCTCTCTCTCTCTCTCTCTCTCTCTCTCTCTCTCTCTCTCTCTCTCTCT